TATATATATAATACTATACATACTATATATGTATAGTGTTATACATAATATTATATGTGTAACACTGATAGCAATTATATATAGTATGTATAATATTATAAATACATACATTATATTACATACACACACAAAAATAAATAAATCAATAGATAATGTCCCCTTCTTGTTTTCTTACACTTCTGTAGACACAATCTTGGAGAACCTCAATTCAAATGAACAGTTACCTACTTCAAGTTCATTCTTTATTTTAAGTTTCAGCAAAATCATTCTGCTGTTTCTGAGAAAGCAGTCAGGGTAGAGTATGTTATAAGGAACGTAGAGTATGTAAAGAACAATGACATCTTGAAACATGCAGCTCTATAGTGAATCTTCCTCCAGAGCAGTAAACTATGAAATGCCTGCATAGAGACTAGCAGTTAATGCAAGTACTCAGCTATGGGATGAAGTCTGGACAAGCTGAAACAGAGACTGACATTCTTTGATTCCCTAGAGATGTATCTGCATACCTAACCCAGCCTCATTCTGCAGCAGAGCTGGAGATCCATCCTACCAGGAAGCTACTACCCCTATCCCACTTTGTTATCTAAAACATAAAAAGATCTTGCTGCATGAATATTTTGGTATGGGTCTGTAGCATAAAGAAGGCTGACCATCTCCACTATAAAAAATGCACTGGAAAGTGGAGATAAACAGGTGCTTCCCCCCCCGCCCCCCGCCATGAAACCTCAAGGCCTTTTTTCTGTATCTTAGTAAGCACATGCATACTGACAATAATATAAGCAGAAATTCCTGCTCATGCTGTCTGCAGACAGTCTTACAAATTAAGCTGTAGTGTACTAAGCTCCTTCTTTTAATGTTCATACTATTGCAAGGGGAGAGTTAGCAAACCTGATCGACAGAACCCTAGCAAGATTACAGGAGAAGTTAGTAACCACTAAAACACTGCCTGTGGTATAAGACTGAAGGGAGAAAACATTAGCATCTTCATCTGCTCTCAGCTGCCAACTTGAATTTTAATTACTATAAGCATTTAAAAGACTTGTTTTCTCTGACAGTTTGACTAGAAACAAAGTACTTGTATGGTCTAGGGAATAGGTCTGTTTAAATAAAAAGGCTGCACAGCAACAGTTTAAACTTCCTCACAGAAGAAATATGGCAACTCCTTAGCATATGAATGATAACAAACAAAAATATAAAATTTCTCATATTCTCTACTTGAATGCATTGACTTCCAATACAAATCACAGGTTTAAAAACCAACAATAAAGGCGAATGTTCCAACAAATCATAATGAATTATCAGCTTACCATCAACAAGGGAAGGAATAGATCTCTCGTTGTCCGAATTTGAGAAAAGGATCAACTCCTTGTTAATGAAGTCATTGTAAGTCAAATGTTTTGTTGCTGTACCGTATAAAAATTGCTGAAAAAAACCCACATACATTATTCATTCCATACAAAAACTACATTTACATTTAAATCTCACCCATCAGATTTATTACTATTATTTACAACTCACCTCGGGAAGGCCATGTAGCCGACGCTGTCGTCTGTCCTCCATGAAGTTTGTTAACCACTCTTTTCGGTCATCAATCTTCTTCTTACTGAAGGCCTGAAAAGATTCAAAGTACACTAAATTATCAGTATATATGTTTGTGTAAATGTATGTTACTTTAGTGAGAATTTTAAGTGCACTGCACTATCTGATCAAGTATTCAATACTACTTATTTGGATGAGATAATCCATATAACTAATGTTTACATTTAAGCAGCAATACAAGCACATGATCTTTCGGACATTGTTGCACAGGGTTTTTTGAACTGACAGATATCTCACTGATTGTAATTTAAATTTATATTACTTTCCCGAAATCTGTACACATTTAGACAAATCTTATCATTCTTATTCCTCTTTTCACATCAGAGTTGTCCTTTGATACACAAGTTTAAAGGTGTTGGGATCTTTCCCCAAATAATTTTAAGGTTGAGTTCATTATTTAGACTGAACTATAACCAGCTGTCATCAAGAAAGTTAACTGAAGGTATTAGAAAAAAATACCCGCCTCTTCTTGTCCTCTCCATGCCCTGTTTGCTCTGTCAGCCATAGAATGCCAAAGCTGTTCCTGAGTGGTTGGCCCTAGTCCTCTTTAAGAAAATTGATAGCTTGACAAAATTGACACTTCATGAAAAGACTAAGCCAGAATTTAGGCCAGCTGACTGAGGGCCTGAGTCTTCATGATAACAAGGTGTCACTTTAAAGCAACCACTTATCACTACAAAAAGACACAGGAACGTTTGGAAAGACTTTGTCTTGTTACAGAAGCAGAGTTCCCTTCCAGTGAGTTTCTTCTCCAGAAGACTACAACTAAGTGAAGAATACATAAAAACTGAGTATGTGGTTTAAGTAAAATCTCAACCACTTTGGGAAAATTTTATGAGCTGTTGAAGTACTGCCTTTTTTTCTCAGGGAATAACATATAGACACTCCATCACGTCCTGATTTCAACTACTCTCCTGCATAAGACAACAGTCATCAGCGCTATCTTTTTTAAAGGACTCTAACTGGAGCACTCCAAAAGAGCTCAATGAGTAGTTTCATTTCCTTGGAGACCATGGTATTACATAATAAATAGTAAACCTTAGTAACTTACTCTCTGAGAAAGGGACTAAGTGATGTCACCCTATTTTGCATCAGATTGACCTCCTTTGTGAACAAAGCTTGACAATTCACAACGTCAGACATCTGAAAGCTTAAGATTAGGCTTTTGTAAAAACATGACTAAATTCTTACAATTTTCTTCTGTCTCCTTTCAGCCTATCTACACTTTTTCTAGACCACTGAAGTGATAAATGACCAAGAGCTGGAACAGCATAAAAATTATTTTAGCAGAATAAAAATAGAATTAATAGAATAAAGTTGGAACATAAATTATTCTCAAATATTTATTCTTGAATAGAATAAAAAGGTTTTTTTCTTTCTCACTTAAAACTGCTATTCTAAGACTTTGTTTACTAGCAAATGAGTTCTTCAGAATACTGAAGAATTTTCTATATGAAATATTTTTTGTTTTCCTAGATCACAGCTATCATGAGGCCTGGTAGGGCCTATAATCTTACACCACCTATGCCCAGAGGTAAATTTGGGGCTGGGATTAAAGCTACCAGCAGAGAAAACGTGAGCAGGAGTCTAAGTGAAGCTTCTCTTAACAGCTTCAGTACTAGTGACTAGTTGTTCCCGGTGTAACAGAGATGACTAGTTTCATCCCAAACTGACAGAATATCATTTTAGGCAACAGTGAGGATCAGCCCTAAAAGGTTATATGGCCTCAGTTATCAGCCTGTATATGGAGGTCTATTTGCAGAAACAGAGCTCAGAATTTTAATCAGGGAGTGAGTTCAGGGTCTCTCCACCAACTGCTTTAATGCATATGCAAATACACAGACTTCTTTTCTATTTAGATGAACACGCTTCTCTGGGATGGGGGACCATGAATTATATTTAAGTGCATCTTGGGCAGAAGTAAATTGAGTGGTACAAAAAACTTCTGACACATCAGGCTGTTTTTCTTCAACAGAACATATATGTACTGTACCTTTCTGTTAGTAAAAACCCCACCATTTTACTAGATCCACAGTATAAGGAAGAAGTTGTTATATAAGGAAAAAGTTGTTTTGTCCAAGATGGGTATTTTCCCATTTTCATTTTTTCTCTCCTACCCCTTTTTCTCTCTAATATCACCTACAATTAAAATAGCAAATTAAAGTAGATAAAAGGTGAAACATTTCTTGAGAAAACAGCTTTGTTCCCGATACTCCATCCTTGGTCCTTCCACAAGCTCTCTTTGAAACACAAGTAATTTCCCGCACACAAGTGTGTAAAAGATTTCAAATTCAGATATGTAGAACACATGCATGAATACACGTATGCCATACTGATGTATCGTCAATGAATAAATAATTTATCTGATCTTATTTGCTCAGAAACAAAATTCAGATCCCTAAGTAGATGTGAAACATCATTTGTTTGGGCTCTGTTGTCTTATTCAGAATACCCTTTTGCATGTTCTCTCTTTAAAAGCAAGTCTGAATGTAATGTTTCTTGATATCCACACCACATAAAATGGATCAAAGCTACTAAGCAGAAGGTAGAGCTGATTTTGTAGCATGGATAAAGCTCTTATTCCAAAATTTAAAATCTGTTCCAAAAGCTCTTTTCTCTCCCAAAAGTTTTTTTTTTCAGTTCTCAAAAAAAAAAAAAAAAAAAAAAAAAAAAAAAGCTTTTAAAAATTTCCCCTGCGGTGCCATTTCAGTAAATAATGGAAACTAAAACATCTCATATAGAAGCCCTTTTGTAAATTCTTACCAGTGTAATGGCAGCATCATCTTCAGGACCAGCATATCGAAATAAGATCCGATGTCTTTCCATGTCAGCAAAATATTCTTTTGCTTCTTTAGCAGTGCTGGTACCCAAACCTGTACAATAAAAAGAAATAGTTACTCCATATTCAAAATTTAAGTTTGATTATTTCACTCCTTTTATTTTACCAGCAATATTATAAAATCATTACAGAAGATATTGTCATGAAAACAGCTACAAATAAAACTTCATAGAACCCACTTATTATGTATTTTTAGATCCATAAGGTTCCATTATTTGTTTTTAAACAAACCTTTGTAGTATTTTATCTTCCATGCTTTATGATTCTCCATATGTTTCTTCCACTCATCAAATTCAGGAATACTATAGAATGAAAGTTCTTGCTTATTTTTGCTTGCCTTTAAAAAACAAACAAACAAAAAAAACTAAACAACTTTTCTGTTGCACTGTAAGTAATAAATAAAATTTCATTAATAGAACCCATACCTTTACAATAGGAGTGATGAATTCCTCAAGAAAACCATGTTTCAACAGTGATGGCCAATTGTGATGAATAAAATTGATCAACAAGCCTTTTATATGAGATCCATCCTGATCCTAAATCAGAACATGAAAACATGAGGCAATCTTCTAAAATGTCACATCCCCCAAAACCACCAAACCCACTCACTGGCCTGGATACATCAAAACAATGTCTGTTGACAGAAAAGATAGAAGGGAATAGTTAGTTTTAATTTGGATTCCAAACTGGACCTGGGTGTAAAATAGCCACCTGTGAATGGCACTATCCCTGAGCTAATGATAAGTTCTTCCAAGCCAAGTGCACAGTTGCAGTTTCTTTGCCTGTGGCATGTTTTCTCTGAGAGCTAGACAGCTCTCCCAGGCACCATGAAGCTGTGTCTTTGGGAAAGAAAGTCGAGCCTGGCCCATAGTTCTCACTGGTGTTAAGATGCTTGATAGTTCAGCCTCTCTGGGAAAAAATAACAAAGCTTCACAAATATCCAAAGCATGGGATTCATAGACTTCTAAACTCTGAACAACAGACACACTCTTCATGAGATTATCCAAAAATAATTGCCTACATTCTTGTCTCTCCCAGACTTTCTAGCATTACCTCCTCATCTACTGTTCCCTTTTGTCCTATTGGAGTTACCAAAAGCATTCTTGTTTATACATGTTTTTATTGTTACTTTGGTGTCTCTGCTATTGTGCAAAGTTCAGTTGTTCATCTGGAGTAACCAAAACAACATATAGATAAATTATTCCCATAAAGAAACCTCATATATTTGGGATCCCTTCTGAATACATCCATATTGTCATAACACAGAGGCAGGTTATAATGCACAAAAATGTCACCTACCGAATTGCAGCAAAACACATTTTTAAGAAGCTCTGTATATTAAAACCTGTGAATTTCAGACTAACCTGATCTGTCATAATCATAATTTTTCCATATCTTAGACTTTTTAGAGATTCTGGATCTTCATAGCTTTTCTTGTATTGTAGTCCAACTATTTTGATGATGTTGTTGATTTCTGCATTTTCCATAATCTGTATAAAAAAATTTATCTTTGCAGTCAGTGTAAAAAGCAGAAATTCAGAAATATCCCAATCTTTTTTAGGTGGGCTTTATAGCTACTTTTTCAATGCACCCCTACCTCAACTTCATAACCTTTTTATCCCAGGCCCCTTGCAGCCTTCACACTTGTAAATATTTCTTCTGTACATGCAAATTCTCAAGACTGCACCACTCCCTTTCTCCTCTACAGCCAGAGCACTTTGGGTCCAGAAGGCAGGGAGAAAAATGCATGTAGCAAAAAGCCATCTCACAAAGCTGCCTTCCCTTTCCACTATTTCTATGGGCATCTGCAACACAACTCTTATTATAGATGAAGTATGGAGGGCAGCAGAAGTAATGAGATGAGGTAATGCTGCTGCCACTGCCTCACGTTGGGAGTTAATGAAATCACATGGCAATGGAGAGAATAAAAAATTTTAGGACTTTTAAGTATTCATGTAAAATGTTAACATGAGTTATAGCACTTGTGAAGAAATTAACTTTATCATCTCAGGCCCATACTACTACACTTAATATTTCCAGGCTTACCCCAGGCTTTAAAGTAGCTGGTACTTCACGAAATCCCAGGCACAAAATTGTTACGAAAACATAAAAATATGAAGATGTAACCCTAGAAATCAATAATAAACAGGAGACATCCATTTGTCAGCTAAAAGGAGATGACAAGAACTTACCTGTTTGTGAGAAGCTTCTCGAACATTGAGAATTTTACCCCTGAGTGGGAATACTCCGTATCTGTCTCTACCAATAACACCTAAGCCAGAGACAGCTAAAGATTTGGCAGAGTCTCCTTCTGTTAATATCAACGTGCAGTCCAAGGAATGTTTGCCACCTGCAGTCCAGGAAGAAGTAGAAGCAAGGCAAAAAACCAGAAGGCGTAACTTTTAAATAATAGAAATACAATTGAATCAGTCATGAATATTCTTCCTATTCTACATCAGGTAATTTAAATAAGCTTAATTTCTATTTTTAGGAGTGGCCCTCCATACCACTAAAACTACACAACAAGAATGCATATCCGTGCCCTTAGCAATACACTATGGGTTGCTACGGACAAGGAGCAAAATAGACAAAATGGGATGCAATGATGACGCATCTTATATAATGGTCCCCACATGTCTGCACACACACACAAAAAAAAAAAAACACAAACAAAAAAACCAGATTGCTTCTGTACCTTTACCATTTCATTTTTCTAGCTGCAAATTTCTTACACACATACATTATGCATGTCTGAGTTACATACAGGAGGTATTTCCCATTCTGCATTTCCCCTTTCCTCACAGTATATTTTCAGAAGTAATTTATTAAATTACATTTTGGGGGTTTCTTTTTTTATTGTCCATCAGCTGAAGCCAGGAAACTGTAAGGAAAGCTTGACAGAAAAGCTTAAAAGATCAGAACATTTGCACTTACAGATTCTCAGAAATTTCTCAAACAGAAGGAACAAATCTTTACTAATGGTGTAATTTTGATTCTACAAGACACACTGCATTTCGGTGCCTGTGTGTCCAGCGTACTCAAAACTGGTATGAGATGTATATTTTGTTTATTGCAACTGCAATAGTTGAATAAATGTTCTAAATAATAAGCAGGCTCAAAAAAGGAACCCACCCTTATCTAAAGGTGCAAATGCTCACTAAGAAGTTTTGCTATTTTATCAAGGCCAAGTGGTAGGAAAGACTGTAAATAAACCTTCAAGCTGGTTTAGCCTCACCTACTGTTAATAGAATAGTTTTGAATATATTGGCATTTAGAACAGGTATTTTGATTTGCCTTTACCTGGTAGGTAAAACAACCCCACACTTCCTATTACACAGAACTTATATTCAACATCTGTGGTCTTCTGAATCAGACATATGGCTTAATATAATCTAAATCATGCAGCTATTCACACTGTATCAAAAGGTGTCAATAGCTACCATGCTATCAGCAAGGTGGAATCCAAATACCAAGAAAAATACTAGTCTGCTGGTTTAGAATATATGAAAGCCAATTGTTTTTCCTAAATGAACTGCAGAAAACACATCTGCATATCATCCAGGTGCACTTTCTTCTGGAATGGATGCAATCATTAGCAATTAATTTCATGGAAACTCAACGTGCCAGGTATTTTCTTCCCCTCCAACAAGCCACAGAACTATGTATACCTCATCAAGATCTCAAGAAAGCAAGAATGACCAGGTATAGGACTCGGTACCTCATTCTTTTCAGTAGGAGAGGAAATCTGCAGCAAGTACATCACTGTACAGACACATCTCTTTCCTATTTCCAAGTATTAACTAGTATTGATTCAAAAATTCAGTGGTACCTGGCACCCAAGAAACCTGTGGATGCTGGACCTCAGCTACAAATTCAGTCTTGAAGTAAAAATAAAATCTAAAAACCACAGGAAGAATTAAAGCCAGAGGGGTCTGTGGCCAGACACTATTCTCTCCCAGCTGCACTGGACTACTTCAGTCCAACAACTACTGGCACCTGCTGTTAGAAACCAAAGCCAATGCTGTTCCCTCATATGATTGGGGTGCTTAAGAAAATGTAATTCCTGGGATCCTTACAAATATTTACCTGTCCAGAAACATAACTACATCAAATAAGACTACTGTATTTTGCTGCCAGATTACAGATAACCTCTGCGTGACACGTATGGACATTAAGGTGCTGGAGCATGTCCAGAGAAGGGCAACGAAGCTGGTGAAGGCTCTAGAGCACAGGTCTTATGATAAGCAGCTGAGGGAACTGGATTGTTTAGCCTACAGAAGAGAAGGCTGAGGGGAGACCTTATTGCTCTCTACAACTACCTGAAAGGAGGTTGTAGTGAGGTGGGTGTCAGTCTCTTCTCCCAAGTAACAAGTGATAGGATGAGAGGAAATGGGCTCAAGCTGTGCCAGGGGAGGTTTAGATTGGATATTAGGAAAAATTTCTTCACGGAAAGGGTAGTCAAGCATTGGAACAGGCTGCCCAGACAGGTGGTGGAGTCACCATCCCTGGAAGTGTTCAAAAAATGGGTAGACGTAGCACTCTGGGACATGGTTTAGTGGGCATGGTGGTGTTGCGTTGATGGTTGGACTGATGATCTTAGAGATCCTTTCCAATCTTAATGATTCCTAGTTTTTACTTTCATTAAAAAATAATCCAGCCACCAAGCCAGGAAACATGAAATTGCTACTCTACCCTTAATTGGTTTAGTGGTGGACTTGTTACTGTTAGGTTGATGGTTGGACTGGATGATCTTAAAGATCTTTTCCAACCTAAATGATTCTATGATTCTATGAATGTCCTGAAGCAATCTCCTTGAAACTGTATGTTCATGCATCAGTTAAACCTTTTCTCCCACTTATGAGGAGGTCTGAAATTCTTTTGAAAAAACTATTTATCACTGTGTAACTCTTCGCGATATGCTTAGTCATGTGCATATTCACTGCAAACTTTCACATAGCAAAGAGTTGAATTTTTTGGTCCTAGAAGTGATCATCACCTCTCACACAAAGAAAGAGCAGGTACAGTCCTTACTTCACCTGACCCTCAGAATCCCCAATCCTTTCTATTAAGATCCCAACGTCAGAAAGAGAGATTGACAGTTCTACAGTGTTTTGTCTGTGTACTCATTAAAAAATTTCCATGGCACCAGGACTTCCTTTTCCCCTTATGTTAACTAAAGTTCATTGAGACAAGTTCTCAAGAGCACAGTGACCAACACACGCTCAGCAACACTGAAGGAGTCACTCTTCCATATCATCTTCTGCCTTCCCTTTCTCAATGAAAGCAGCTTTTTGTTGAGGTCAGAGATCCTGATTATAGCATTAGTTGAGTTCTTGCGCAAAAAGGAACAAAAAATTCCTATTGATTTTCAAAAGCAAAGAGATGACCCATACTGTACCTTCAGTCCTTAAAAAGAAAGGACTAAAGAACTTTTTATTAAATGTATTACTTGTGATCCTCCAATTTAAAACATCTCTGCCAGTATATATAACACTTCAGAAAGTCAGGCCTAGTGTGAATATGACAACACATGTTGTATTCAGAAATCAAATGCCTCTCTGCCTTCTCTGTCTACGCCAAATGTGCAATGCCTTCGATGTGAGAAATCTAGTATGTTCCAGATCGTCAATAAACCAATACCTGGGTAAGCCTCCTTGGGAGATGCAGAGTTCCTGCTCCCCATGTAAGAACAACTAGGCAGCAGAGAAATACCTGGGTAACAGGGATCCAAGCCAGGCAAAACTTTAAGCATCAGTGTTGAGCCCAAATGAGTTTCTACATGCCTTCTTATTTGAGGAAGTTTCAGGATGAAAGGCAATGTAGTATTTTATTAGCTCCCCTGTTAGAGGTTCTTCCTTCCCCTCACCCTCAGTGAAAAAAACTGAATAAGAAGTGATTTTGAAGCCTGGTTTCCAAAGCAGAGCTAAAAAAAAAAAAAACTATGAAGAAAGTGTATCCAAAATCATTAATGATGTTATTTATGAGTGCTAGGCTTGATATCCATAAAAACACAGCATTTCTCCAAGCACACAATCTTCTAGGCAAGACAAATACCAGGAACATGCATCTGACTAAGGAATACAAATTCCACAAGCAAAACACTAGTTAAAGGAAACATGATTATCAACTTTTGAGGAAAAATATGACATCGGAATACCTGGAAAAGTAATAAAATACTGAAGAAAACTCAATTAAAAGAATTAATAACCTGAGCCCAAGGAATCAAAAAGAAAGGGAGGAAAATTAAACAGAACTCATCATCTCATCAAGTCATCTTTTACTTGAACACGGGAGCTCAAAAAAAAAAAAAAAAAAAAAAAGCCTCTTTACCCATTTTACATGCTTTTACCTACTTAACCCACCCACCTACCTCACTGCAATTTCTCTATGTTTGCTTAATGTAAGGATGTATTAAAGATCAACTAATATTAACACAGACTGGCAACATTTCAAGCTCTTTAGTCATATGTGGCCCTCAAATATTTCAAGGACAACTCCCATCCCATTGCTATTGGCACAAAGATTGCCAGCTGATCCTGATTCCTATCTGTGACAAGAAGGAAGCCAGCAGAGATTGCCAGTTTGCCCTATATCCCCAGACAGGAACCTAATGGCATTTAAAATCTCATGAAAAAATTCTCTTGAACCACTCCCTCAGGTCTGCACACTATGTGATCTACTTGCTATAGCTTGTGACCCTACAAACACTCCAATCTTTTTATAGCAGGAAGGTCAAGAAGACTAGTCACCTCCAAAACATAATATTGGTAACACTATTTAGCTGGAAACCACAATTATAAAATACATGCTCTTTCAATATGGAACTTCACTGCTGCTTTTTTTCAGCATTATTAATTCTCTACCCCAGAGAGGACGGTGTTCCCAATATCAAACTCACCATCCTGCTTTAATCCTAGCTCTAGAAAGTTCAGAAAACTAGAAAGATTTTTATTAAAAAATATACACAAGGATGAGGAATAACGTCAGGTTTAAAATGAGTATGTCTGTGAAAGACCTATGAAACATTAAAGACATTAAAAATAAGTTCTCTTACCAGCATCATTAGCATCATCCAGTTTCGGAATGCCCTTGATTTTACTGTGTTTCACCGATGAACATTTTTTGTTCAGCTGAGTTTGTGCCTTAAATTTGACCCAATTCAAAATACTCTCTATGATACCACAGTTAGAGGCCTATAAGCAACAGATCAGAGTTGTGGATGAGAAAAGTAAAGCTCAACAAGGCAGATTCTTATCTCGGAATTTTAAGTCACTGATCTAACACTGTTTCTCAAAGCCCTCTAAATTTTAAAAACTGCAACACATAAAAGGTCAAGGAATTAACACGTACCTTACTGTCTAGCATTTTATGCACACAAAACCAAAACACAACACTCACACAGCTTCTTTTCTGCCCTTTGTATAATTGGTGGAAGGAGGAAAAGAGGACTGAGACCTAATAAGAGGTTGTCTTATGTTGTGTGGTTGATGTGCTGAGACATTTTAGGTACTTTACTGCTTCCTAGACTTTGACAGCAAGAAGTAACCTTATGGGATATTTATGACCATTTAAAGTTTCTTTGGAAATGACTGAAAATGGCTGAAAGACAACCAAAAGCATTTAAGAATAAGGCTCTGTATCAACCATTTTGAGAAACTGATAACTTTTTAAGAAACACATCTGCAGCAGAAGTAACATACAGCATATTTTTGAAACTAAAACTGCTTTAGGTTTGGTTTCACATCAAAAGAAAATACAGGTGGAGCAAAATACTGCGAGCTTTGACTTTTCATTATGCCCCATAATACAGCACTCATTGGTTAGAGATTCTGCTGCACATTTAACACCTCTGGAGATCAATGCTCACTTCTGGGAATATTAGAAACACTTTAAATAAAACCTACTGATAGAAATAAAACATTTAACAAAATCTGAAGAATGAACACAAGATTGTGTCGTGTTATTTTTTCCTTTAAGTTCTATAAGAATGTCACCAGTAACACAGAATTAGAATAAAACGCTATACAGTAAGTTAAGTTTTGATGCCAAGAGTATTAGCAGTGGCACCATTCTCCTTACTACTGGAGTTCCAGTTATGCTACTGACACTAAATAGGACTTAGTATAATGATTTCTGGCTAACAGAATTCTACTTTTCCTTCCTTGTAAAAAAAATGTAGTAGAGGAAAAACCTCTACCATGTATTTCCACTAATACTTTCATTTAGAGTAGGTATTCTTAGCCTGTCTACAGCCAAAATTTCTAAACTTGTTGCCTGAGATTAATGACCACTTTGAATACTACAGCCACAATTTTGCATTTCCTTGATTACTGGAAGAATAAGTAAATGTGACATGTTCCCTTCCTCTCTTTTCACTTCAGTGAAAGAGAGTATGACTGATATCAAATAAAGCAGAGGATAGTCTCAACTTCAGAAAAATATTTTAACACAAAAGAACTGGTTTAGAACCTATGTTTAGGTTTTAAGAGACAAATTCATTTCACCAATATAAATACCAGAATCTCCACCAAATGAACTGATCAGGTGAAGCTCTCTTTTAAATCCAGGGCAACTGCCAAAACACAGTCATTGCTTTCACTATTAAGGCCAGAGAATGAACAGAAGTTCCTTCATCCCATTTTCATAGTATGCTAATGTCACTAGAGTACCATAATGCACTAATTACTCTTCTGCTACATAACATACATACACTCAATCCAGTATGTCAATTCCTGCTTCACAGAAAAAAAGAAATATGCTTTACTTACTGCTTTAAAAAATTTCTCAGATAGCTGGCACTTGGACCCAAAACTTTTAGGCTGCAATGTCATGTTTTCCTTTGTCTGGGAATCAAATGATGGGTTTTCAATCAAACAATTAACAAAAACCCATATATGATTCTTCACCTGTTGAAAACATAGAAACCAATTTACTCAACAAAATTACCACATTCATCTTTTCAATATTTTTGTATAAAGTTACTTGCCTGAAATGGTTTCACTGAAACTCCAGCTTTATTCTTCTTTTTCACCACTTCTATTAGTTTGCCCACAACCTGATCCACCACGTAATCAACATGCCTACCACCCTTAATGAGGGGGGAGAAAAAAAAAAAAAATTAATTTCCTAATTGCTTTTAGCCATATTAAATAACGTTCCCGTACTCATACTTAAATTTGAAAATCCATGCACATTAAGTCGCAGCATAACAAAGGAAAATTTGTATTAAAGTTTCATGTCATTCAGTCTTCGTACAACTGAGGATGATGGATATTACATAGAATAGAAGAAGCAGAAGACGTTTCATTCACTGTACAGTGGTGGACTTCAAAAGTAGCTGCTTACACCTTAAGAGTATAGCAGATCTGAAAATTACTCTATAGCACTGGGATGGTACCTGCAACACCACATGGCTGTCAAGAGGTATCTTTAACAGGCACATAAATAACCTAGGACTGAAAACTTCACACATTCATACATCAAATTAAACTTTCCCCATTTGGTTCATAAAAAAAGTTCAAGAGTTCACCCTCAGATATACAGCACCCATGCCTATTCTTTCCCAAAAGTCATCTCACCTTTTCTTAGCTGTATTTACAGAACTCTTTGAATAAATGCTACTAGCATTCTTTGCTAGCCTTGGGTTTATGCAAGGGCAAATGGAAAGCAAACTGCTAATAACCAACCACAAGATCCAGAAAACTCTAAAAGAACAGACTAAGATAACCATAAGGAGATGAGCAGTTCTCCTTAAAAACTCACCAGAGGCTAAACCTGCTCCAAATTCATACCTGATGTAGCAACAAGAGATACGTAACAGAGCATGCAGCTAACAAACAATAAGGTGGCAAACTAGCCCCTTAGGGGACCACAATAACTTGTAGCTACGTAATCATGTTGCCACCTGTCTTGTAGCCAGCAAGAGCAGTCAACTGGACCCCCTTACAGTTACTGCCCAACTGCAGAAGAAAAAAAGAATGGCTTATAAGCAATTTATTGCATCATCACAGCACCAAAAAAAAAAAAAAAGGAAAGAATATGTAGGATTTTCTTCCTCCACTGCGCCATAACAACTGAAAGTGAAACATTCACAGTGCCTATCACAATTCTTCCCTTTACCCTAGAAAAGAGAGGGACTCTGAGTACTGGTTACCCTTGCTTAAGGCCTTTCCAACTAGATATTTCAAGTGAAGCCATTATTGCAAGAAAACTTTTGGTGGAGGCAATGTATTCACCTCCCAACTATGACACCTAGGACAACAGACCCTGAGGAAGAAATACTTATGTACTTAAAATTTGGAAGTGGTAAGTCAGAAAAGTTATCTTTTTGAAGCTGTATATAACTCATGCTTTGCAATATGGCAGGGTGATGAAAATACCTATTATTTTCAATGTTTAAATAGTGGTTTTAATATTGATGAAATTCAGTCTAAATAGTGAAGCACTAAGCATTTGAACACCTTCAGAAAGTGCCCCAAAGCTTCTATCACCTTCTCTTAGCTACAATTGTCTTTGGACTTAAACTTTAAACCAGCTACAAAAAAAAACCCCAAAACATACTGCTAGAACACAAGTAATTTTGAAATTAAATTGCTTGGAAAATAAAGGCATTTCACATAAGCTTTCTGGGAAAAAAAGGTCTATTATAGATCTAGTACATCGTAACAATGACTACTGATTCAGATGTGCAAAAGAAACATAACCATTATGAGGTATATTCTACAATGCAGAAGTAATCTAAATCAGAACCGCTAGTAAAGACTAAACTAGACTAGAATATTTCAGTTGGAAGGGACCTACAATGGTCTTCTAGTCCAACTGCCTGACCACTTCAGGGCTGACCAAAAGTTAAAGCATGGTAAGGGTATTGTCCAAATGCCTCTTAAACACTGACAGGCTTGGGGCATCGATCACATGTCTAGGAAGCCTGTTCCAGTGTTTGACCACCCTCTCGGTAAAGAAATGTTTCCTAATGTCCAGTCTGAACCTCCCCAGCACAGCTTTGAACCAACCATTTCCACAAGTTCTGTCACTGGATCCCAGGGAGAGGAGATCAACACCTCCCTCTCCACTTCCCCTCCTCAGGAAGCTGTAGAGAGCAACGAGGTCACCCATCAGCCCCCTTTTCTCTAAACTAGACAAGCCCAAAGTCCTTAACCACTCCTCACAGGACGAACCTTCCAGCCCTTTCACCAGCAGCTTTGTTGCTCTCCTCTGGATGCATTCAAGGACCTTAACATCCTTCTTAAATTGTGGAGCCCAGAACTACACACAGTACTCAAGGTGAGGCCACACCAATGCTGAATACGGCGGGATAATCACCGCATTTGAGCAGCTGGTTATACGCTGTGTTTGATGCACCCCAGGGTGTGGTTTGCCCTCAAGGCTACCAAGACACACTGCTGGCTCGTACTGAGCCTGCTGTTGACCAGCAACCCCAGATCCCTTTTTGGGTGGCTGCCCTTCAGCCACTCCTCTCCCAGTTTATACTTGTGCCTGATGTTACTCTGTCTTAGGTGCAGAATCCGGCATTTCAACTTATTAAATTTCATTCCATTAATCATAGCCCAATGCTCCAATCTATCTAGAACCCTCTGCAAGGCATCTTGTCCCTCAAGAGAGTCAATAGCACCTCCCAGTTTGGTATCATCAGCAAACTTGCTAATAGTGCACTCAACTCCTGCATCCAGACTATTGATAAATATATTGAACAGGACTGGCCCTAGAATTGAATGCTGAAGGAACACACTAAAACAGCACAAACATATTATAGAGAAAACATTCCAGATTAGGAAGAACAACTAGTAATTGAAGGTATGTATCCTGTAGTCTTTAATTCTATGGAACAATGACTACTGAAATTGCCTAAACCAATGGTGATAAATATGTTTAAATATTTACAAGCCCAAGGTGACACAAATTCCCTTACAGGTAAAACAGCAGGCTTTCTTCAGAAATATGTCAGAAATATGAACGGTCCTAAAGACCTAGATGTCTGAAAGCTCTTTACATTTTTGATTATTCAAATGCCTTCCTTTAAATTTATAGACAAAAAGGTACAAATAGTAATAAAATGCTAAATTCTAGTGGCTGTTATAGAAAGTTCATAATGCTTTGACTAAAATCTATTATCTTGTAACAAAGAATGGAGTGATGCATGCATATCCTACACAATTAAACATACCTAACTCAACACTCAATATTTTACATAGAAGATCACCTTTGCTTAATATCATTTAGCACCTTACAAAAATACAGAACAAATAATGGTTCCTGTTCAAACCAATTTGCATCAGGACAGACAAAATAATGCAAATGCATCTATGGAGACATTCATCATCTGTTTTTAAAACAGAATTGAGGAGGAAAAAGAAGCTTTTGATGGGTATGAGGAAGTATAGGATAGATTAGAAATAAGAAATGGAGAACAAAACCAAGAAAAAAACAGCAGCCAAAAAGACCATGCAAAAGAAAGAAACAGCAAGCAAAAACCAAAAGTCACAATTCTACATTTTAAGGCAGATTATGCATCTGAAAAGACTGAAGATATAAAGTGGCTGAATTGACGGAGGATAGCAGCTGTGTTCTCAGCTTCATGTGGAAGGTAGAGATGAAAAGAAAAAAGAGAGAGGAGGTAAAAAAAATAGCTTGAGATGATAAATATTATTAGTCATAACCAAAGCTAGTACTTGCACTTCAAAGAAACCATCTATGATTTCTGTTAGTCTCTAGAGTCACGTCCGAAACAGCAGCACAAACCACTGGTGTGTTTTAGAAGCACCATACATACATGTATTTTTTCATGGCATTTCTTCTTAAGAAAAAAAAAGAAAAAAAAACCAAACCACCACAAACTGACAAAACAAACAAACAAAAAAAAAACCAAACCCAAAAACCACCAAAATCAAAACACAACAGTTTTTATTCACTTATGGATGACAGAGTTTCAGCACAGGAGAGTTCAAGTGAAAATTGATACACTGACATCCTTCCACTTTGAAGAAAAATAAAACCATTTCCAAACTGTAAAGAAAAGCTACTACAGGAAAATACCAAATTACATGTTTAAAAAAACACATTCCACATTTGAATGGCAATTTTAAAGTGCATTACTTTTACTCATCACATTACTGAAAACTTCCGCTTACAGGAATATCTCAGTATATTTTTGTATTCACAACTTTAGCAATTTTTTTTTTCAATTTTAGCACTTCAAATATTTTGCTAAAACTAACAGCTGACACATCAAAAATTAGCTACTTACCAGTAATTCTTGTTCTTAGAAGATATTAGTTACTATAACAGTTCCCCATTCCTGTGTCCATTCTTAGTGTGTAGCATTGAGTGAGGGATGTTCAGAGCTCAAAGTTGGGAATCTTTCAACCATCTCACCAGTAGGTGGCACATTTACCCACTATAGAAGCATAACAGCCTATAACTGCCCCAACTGTCAGTACATTTTAATACGAGACAGAAAAAGAAAAATACCCTCTAAATCTAGAGGGCTGTCAATGATTATTATGACTACTGTATTATAAGAAAGAGCACAAAAACTGCATAACCTTCTTTTCCCAGAAGGTAACCATCATGACTGAAACCCAGTCTTGCAAACTTGAGGATGCAAAGACATCTAATGAAACGGTAACAACTAAAATCTTAAAAATGAAGCTTAGACTGGCTCCTATATACACTTATTCATATCGTCATCAATAGCCAACAGCCTCAATTAATTTCAAGGTAAGCCATACTTAAATTCTATGGACAGATAAATGGTTCATATGGCAAACAAATTCAGAAGCTAATTATAAATTTGAAATTTTCATTGAATTATCTATACAAATAAAATCCTATTTTCTTTGGCATTTGTTTTCTGTTATGTTTATTTTATTAGAATAAATCTGAGAACATCAAGTTCTGGAAGGGTCCTGAATTTCTTGCTGAACTCCAGCAAATTTTAACAGGTTGGGATGCTCCCTCCACCCTAGTCTACTATCTGACACTGCATCTGTATTAGCTGACCATTTCTGTTAAAATGATTAGTAGTATTACAGTTAGCAGTGCCACCATATTAAAAATATCATTAATTGTTATGTTAATAACTGAAATTTCTACTACAGCTACTATCTGAAATTGAGAACTTGAGAAGACCATGTTTAATCAGTTTATAAACAAGTCTCACCAAAAGGTTATCTACACAACCATAATAGCTACAACCATTCTTTCAAATGCTGCCTCAGAGCCTGAAGTTGAATTCTGTGGTGACCTACTGTGGCAAAATTGTGAATAAATGGGGACCTGACCCAGGTAACAAATTTACGAGAACAAAACAAGGGAGTTGTGCCTTGATGTACTGCCTGACCTTCTACACACCCCTCAAAAAAAACCCCCATGAACCTAAAAAAAACTTGTTTGGAATTTAAAGCAAGTTTAAAAAAGGTGGAAGGGAAGTTACGACTGGGTGAAATTTATCCAGAAACAGAAATGAAAAGCTTTCAGCAAACAGCGATAAATAACCAAAAAACAGCTGAAATGAGCTCCTCACCTGTTAGCAGATAAGGGGACAGGCAGTTGACGCAGTTAGTTACTAGCCATTATGTCTCATCAGTGGGTAGTTGCACATCAATTGCTGGTGAGGTGGTTCACCGGCCCCGAACATTCCACATCCAGTCACACACATAAGGCATGGATTGGGAGAGTGGGAAAAACTAGAAATTACAACACTTACCTTTGAAGAATACACAGTACTTTTTCTATGAATTTTCTTAAAGAATAAATGATAACAATGTATGTGTAACTGCATGATGGGTGAAAATTGATCCAAAAGAGTCAAATTCAAAATCTTTCCAGTAAGTGTATGCAATATATTTAACTTAGGAGTCAATAAGTATTCATTTTTTTCAAATACATTTTCTTCACCTGATTATCAGACATTATTAAGTTTCTCTGCATTGCCAGCTTCTTCATAAAGGTATTGTATACATCTTTAAGGTCATGCTATTTTTCTTCTTTATGTTGCATAAAGAGGCCTGAATTAATACTAAGTTTTAACCTTTCAACTACCAGATGTGTGTGTTATCCCTATTTCTGACAAGTATCAGATAAGCATTTAATTAAAATGCACACTTAGAAAGTAAATACTCTACAATGAAGTAAAGTATCCCTCTTACCACTGAACCCTGGTTCAACTACACTGCAAATGACACTGGAAGAAGATACATAGTAAAAATTATATACCACCAAAACACTGGCTACACGTTATCTACCACTGAGATTAACACTGATACTTCTGGACACCTGCCTAGACTAGGGACCCCACTTAGTAAAACCGCTGGTGCTTATGAACCACTTGTGCTACCATTAGAATTTTCTTCTGTTTGAGTCTTTTAGAAAAGATCTGAGCAAGGAGGGTTTTTTAAGTGTCTCATTACAAATTCTTATCTTTCTCACCTTTTGGGGAAACTCATAGTTAAGATTCCCTAAAACCAGCCTCACCAATCACTAGAATTGCTTGACTGTTGTTAGATCACTCATCTGGTGCAATTTGTGAAGAGTAGAAATGACAAAGACTTTCTTTCACCATGGTGGATCCCAGATCCCTAAACCTGGGCCACGCCAAACTGGCATAAATGAGAGTTACGCTAGTTGATTTCATGCGATTGCCTTGGTGCCTGACCACCCCAGCAATTTAAGAAGCACAAAGATTGTACTTTAGTATGCTGACCATATTGCTGCTTCATCATAACTGAAGATTTGCTGTGAGATCATTTCACTACTACTATAGTTGCTAATAAGTACAGAGAACACGTACATCCCCTTATATAGAAACACAAATAAGAGAAAATTAATCTCAACGTTTCAGGCCAGTTTTATACATCATAAAGCAATAAATGGAAAGCCATTATTCAAGAACACCAAAAGCCATTTTTGCCCTCCAAAATTTGCTACTACTAGCTTTAAAGGGGTTTGTATATTTTTTTAACTTAATTTCAGAATTATTTTATTACAATGTGTTAAAAAGGAAGCAATAAAATAGGTTCCATTCATTTTATATTTAATCAATACCATGTGTGCTCACATCAGCACCACTGATAACAATTACTAGTGTTTTAAAGACTAGTGCATATTCAGAAATACTGCTATGAATGTATTTTGATTGCATTCAGTTGCTCGCCAGATCCTCTCATAAAAAGGACTACCTCACCTATTTACTTTTAGTAATGCAGATGTATTTTTTTTATCAAAAATCTGACTAGGCATAACCTTAGCACACATTTTTATCATTTGCGTTTTTTATCATTTAATATAACTACTCACCTTTGTGGTAGCTATACTATTTACAAAGCTGATTTGCTGAAATCCTTTTTCACTTAAAGTGAGGCACACATCCCATCGCTCATTCACAACTTCATGAATAACTTTCAGTGCAACTCCAGTTTCATCCAGCTTGTCTTTTACGTAAAGATCTACATAACTGCGAAATCCATTTACCTATGAATAATACAGATAACAGTTACTATTTTTTGCATAAAATACTCACTACACTTAAAATATTTTAGATGAGGCTCTTACAGGTAATTTCTTCCCATTCAACATGACTTTGACTCCTTTGCATGACCCAGCCAAATCATATGCTCTTCTTGTCATGAGGGCCACAATATCCTTATCAAGTTTTTCCATTTTAAATTTAGACAGATCTGGCTGGAATGTAATGCATGTGTAGTCATCACCATCAAAATGCTTAATCTTGGGTTCAGAGGTCTTCATCATATTGTTCATCCAAGTCTTTGGAAACAAAACATTAGATGTTAGTTTACAATACATGTTATCCTCCTCCTTTGTTCCATTTTCCAGCTATGCTAAGATTGCAACAGCTACACAACAAAAAGCTCATAGACTTCTCTTAGAGGTTTCCTCTGGTAAAACACTACACATAAAATGAATTGCTTTACCAAGATTTGCACAAGCATTGGTGACAGCAGATTTGTGGTTTCTGTAAATATGCAGGTATCATTACACTGATGGACATTATTCTAATGCAAACAAAGCCCACCACAGAACTGTCTACATTAGATGCAAGTGAGCTAGCTAAACAGTCCTTATTGCCCATCAGTTTAATGCTTTCAATCTACTACACACTTCTATAAAGAAGTTTATTAGTCCTTGTGCAGAGACTCCGTGTCTCTCAGATAGCATCGCAGCGGCTGTGCAGTGTACCGAAACATGCTTCTTGACAAACCAACTTGCTCAGTCTTGACTCAGGAGTGTTGGCATTGTTCCCTCTTTAAGAACACGGGCACATTTATAAGACCAAGCAGAACGCCTACTCACAGCATATATCAAAGTGGAGTTGTATTAAATTTTCACAATTTTTGAAAATACTGGAAAACATAGCACTTTAAGTCATAAAGCATGTCATTTTCAAAAAGTACACTCGAACTAATACTGAATTTGCCTTCTGGCAGTCAGCAATACCATAACAAAGTTCTTCAAACTTTTAGAAAGGTGGCCATCTCAAAGCTATATACAGTAGATCAGATTACAGTAGATCAGATTACATTCAGTCCTTGGTCTGTGTGCTAACAACGATAAGAATGAGCAATGGGTACAAATGGGGAGGGAGGGGGTTTGCACTGAAGTCCAGCTAGGCTAATGAAATTCATGACATAGACACTGAAAAAAATCTTTTTCTTAACACTATAAAAAATTATCTAGATAATTGCACAGCTAAGTAGAAAGATTTTTTGACAAATTATATAACAGCAATTACAAAATATTTTCATTAAATATATTCCTTTTCACATGCACATGAATATACTTTAGTTTTAACGGAAGAAATTTGTTTTTCATTTTTATTCACTTAATAGTCCCAAGAAAAATATTACTTAAGCAAAAACCCACGAATTCTAATACACAGAAGTACCAATTTTATTGACTGAACTACCTAGCCTGCAAACTCTACACATCCATTTGAATATTAAATGATTCATTTCATGAAATATTCATGAAATATAGAAAACGTGTTAAATTTTAAATTTATAATTATGGCAAAGAAAAGGAAAAAAGTTGAGATAATTTCTATACCTGCTTAAAGCTGTGCTTGTATTCCTTGCAAGCAGTTTCAACTGTAAACTTTGTACTAAATATGTTACAGAGTTTTGCACCGTAGCCATTGCGTCCACCTGAAAAAACAACATATAGTAAGTTTTTTACAGCAGAACCATATTTATGATATTCAGAGAGTATGCCAATGAAGTAAAACGTTCCTACAGTTGGGCCACATGTCAACAGCTATCAAAGGATGCCAGAGATGGAGTTTCACACTACCTCCAATCTGGTACAACTGCTTCTGCCTCAAAAATGAGTAGTTTGCTCCTCCCCACAAGGCCAGGATGCTCCCATTGCTTCCCTCAGGTTGATCTACCAGTTGCTTGCTGAAAGGCAAGTGACCTCAACACCCTGATCAGCTGAAAACTAGGTCAGACCCAAACCACTCTGCAACCACACATCATAATATGGGCAAAATATATGGGGTAGGATAGAACAGAACTAACTTTCATTTATGATCTAAATTAGAGTTACTTCACATTTAGGATAATAATTCATACCCTAATTTATTAAATTTATTTTTTCCCTTAATTTCAAGAGCATAAATGTTTAAATGCTCGCATATGTTACAATTAAAATATGAAGATATGTTGTTACTGAATAATGAGTATTGTCATTAAAGATGTAAATGTAAAGTTCTCTGTAAACATTGATATCAAAAAAGAAAAAGTAAGGTTTTTTTCTTTAAGTCATTTTACTCTAACAGAGCTATAGTAATGGTGACTAAGTGATCATCTGTTATGAAACAGTATAGAGAAAAGTAAGAAGAGAAGGCATACTGAAAAGCAAACAATGGCTTAATTGAATAAAACAAAGCATGTTAAACAGTCTTGCCTGTAACTTTTTTCTCATCATCATCATAGTTGCTGGATGTTAGCAGCTGCCCGAAGATTAAAGCAGGTACGTATACCTTTTCTACTTTGTGTTCCACAACTGGTATACCCTTTCCATTATTCCATATGCTGATAATGTTTGATTCCCTATAAAACAGCGAAGGCATTAAGCCAATTAATGTAATCTCAAAAACAGACTCCTGCATATATTTTACCTGTTTAAATAACCACATAAAATACAATAAGACCATATTCTTACCAAGTTTAGTCACAGCTCTACCCATTTTAATTATAAAAAAACACTTCTCTGTGCTTATGAGATGTCTTGGAAGAAGAAGCATAATTGCTCATACACAACAGTATTTCATATCATAAAAATAACCCTTAAAAATCTGCTTGAAGAGTTTTCACTATCAACATGATAAGCAACAGAATCCTGAAGTTTAGTGACAGAATTATACTTAAGTTAGAGACGTAGCTTTTTAGGTTTCATTGAAGTCCACCCAGATACAGCCAAGTTATCACCTGTTTAAAACTGTTATTTCCCATTTATGATAAACATTGTAACTTATTTTATGCATCAATGCCAAAATCCATCAACATCTGGCATCATTAATACTTGTAGCTCTCATATAGAATTTTCATTTCAGACTATTAGAGAGTTCAAAATCATGACAGGTCAGGCAGATTTACACTACCATTTCCCACCCACTCCATGATAAAAACAATTTGGTCTACAGAAACTGATAATGCACTGAAAACTTGCAGAAAAATTATTTCTCAGTGTATTTATTCTAAAGACTAGGTGTTAAAATTAGGTCTCAAACACTTATTATTCAGTTAAACGTCACTGAAAAGGTACTACTAAAGGAACCCAATCAACACCTATTTAACTATGGTACTTCTTACTAGGAAATATCTCTAAGTATTCAATTTCGAAAAACAGTGGTAAGGACATATTTGCAATCTGCAGTTTCAATGTGATACAGCTGACTGATTCAAACGTAACCTTATCCTAATGGTAAAGAAGTTAACATAGAAGTTCAAGAGGTGCAAAATTATGTTACAAAACCTCAAGGTTGGTATTTATGATTTATAAGTAACCTGGCTGATTATAGTTATGTACTGTCAAGCTTTCATCTAATCATGAATTTTATAATCTTCTGGTTTTAAGTTTCATTCAATCAAATGCTAATGAGTGATTTAGGAAAGCAAATTATTATAAATTCAGAATGGTAGTATTTCCTGTTAACCACTTTTTCCATCTTAAAATATGAAGCTAATGGAAATAATTCCAAAAATATTATTTTGTTTTTTTTTTAAAAAAAGCCAATTTCATTTAATAAAATAATTTGTACAAATATGAACTACAATAGCTTTGGCAGGGAAAGTAAATTAAAACATGCTTTTACTTACGGATCAATGGATATTTTAATACAAGTCATATTCTTGTCCCTCTGCTTATTGTCAGCGGCATTTACTATGAAACAAAGTAGCACAAATTAATACTTTCTAGGAGCAATAATTAATTACTTGATCTGTAAAACTGATTATATACACATTCCACCACAAGTTACAATGGTCCAGGTATTTCTTAATCTGGTATCTTTTTGTATATTCTGTATCTTATTACTGAAGTCTATAAACACGACCAACTATCTGCAAGAAGATATTTTTCAACCTTCTTATAATCACTGACTATTTCTAGCAGTTAGACTATCTTAGAAATAAATACAGAAGTGTATTTTGTGAGCTTGTTTTCATAACTGTTCTTAACATACTGAACACTTCATTCTTCTGTTGCTTTGTTGTTTGGATATTTATTACACATATTACACCATGTATGTTAAAAATCCTAGGACATTATATGCATCACCAGATCAGTTTAGACATCCTTTTGCCACTGAAACCCAATCCTGAAAAAGTCACATCCGTTAAGGAGTGTTTTGATTGCAGCAAAAGTTGTCTCTAAAGAGCCTGTGAGACTTAAAACTAACAGTGGTAAGTTAGTTCCTAAACAGTTTAGGATCAAAAGGAGGAAAACTGGAAGTTAACATTTTATCAGAATTTAATTAAACTACACTCCAGTGTATATTAACTACAAACAACAGAAATGTGACTATGGCCATTAACCGTGAAAACACATTACAATCATTTTCAGCATTTGTCTCATCACCCATGAAACAGATGAAAATAAAGCCCCAGAACACTAAAGGACATAAAGATAAATCCATTAAAATATCTTAATATATTGAGATCCTTATAATCTATTAAGATAAGATCAGATATTTCAAGGTGCTTTTGCTAAAATTATTAAGTGCAGTTTCATTAAGAAGTATGCACAGCTACAATGTCCAGTTTTCATAATGTTATTGCACTGACCCCTAGCTCTCAAACCACACTTTATGGAGCACTTATCAGTGCCACATAAAGCAGCACTAAGTCATACAGTACTATGATAATAATAGGATAACGATTTTCCTTTTGAATGGGACAAGACAGAAGTGACTCCCTCCCGTGAAAAGCCTGTAAATTTCATCTATGAGGCAGCACTCAAAAAAGAAGTGATGAAAGATTTTCATTCCCATATTTCTCAAATTAAATAATGAGTGAAAAACAAAAATAAAAAATACTTCTTTTCCACCTGGCCAAGATATAGTCTTTATTGCCTCCAAGACAGCAATGTTGTAAAGCATAGTTTTACATGTGTGGATAAATGCTGAACCCAGTGAAGGTCATGACAAAATTACCATTAACCTCAATAGACCATAATTTAGTTTACAATGTAAACCCACCAATCCTTACAACGTAACTTCATAAAAACTGATTAGCTGAAGAATTCATGTCTATTAACCCAAAATATAAGTTCAGCAGACAGCACACTGTTCAAATGTTGCACGCCTCTACTGCTGCTTAGTCTTCAATGTGTGCCCATCACCAAGGGAGTATCATAAATTAGTAAGTCATAGTGACTCAGGGACTTATGACAGAATTTTCTAAAAATCAGTTTTTGTGCCTCAGTCACCATGCTTTTAAATGGCAGTATGATACTTATTAATTTTAAAACTCTCTGAAGTCTAGAAATGATCCATGTAAGAATCACCATTACCACCACTATCATTCTGTACAGAAGGAGGTAGTTTTAAAGATTCATGAGATAGTGATCTAAATTAACACGACAATTTTCTGTTGTCTTCTTTCAGAAGAATAATTTTGTTGCATATGTTACTTAAAACTGTGGCCCTGATCAACTTTCCAGATTAAAAATCTTTTAACAATATTGATCATAAAGAATGATCTAGCTTAGACATTCAGTAACAAATACTTAGGCTGTCTTACAAGTTCAACTGAAAACACTCTTCCCTCTTTGAACTGTTCTGTCGTGCTGGACTGTACTAAAATTTTCATGCATTGCAGTTTAGTGGGACTCTAAGTCTGTGATTTAAACTTATATACAAATTAATGTGCTTTGAGAGCTCTCAGAAAAGCGTGTACTCCAATAATGCTAAAGCAATGTTATTGTTAAAAATACTTACCAAGGATTTCATCAAAGATCTTGTACAAGCCTGGGACAAAGGTAACTTCTCTGCAGTTCATTCCTACATCTTCATCATAAACCCACATTAACTACATGTGAACAAAGTAAAATAAAAACATTTACTGTCTTGGTAAACCAGTCTGTGATTCTACATCATCTATTTACTTCAGGAACTTTACTCTTCCAATCTGACTGCTGCTGTGATATGAGACAAAAGCAGAAGCAGACGTTTGGCAAAAATTACAACTGTATCCACAAAGATGCAATGAAAATGCATTATTTTCTGCTTGGTGGGGAACTCGAACAGTACAGACAGTGAAGTTTGAAGCAATTTGCAACTTCACAAAAACAGCTGAAAAAAATGCCAGCAGAAGGCTTAAATTCTCTGTTCTCTACCTAAACAAACAGTCCAAAGCATTTTTGGACCTGGAGCGAATGCTACTTACAAATATGTATACGTATTTGTGTGCATATAGGCATGTTTGTAAACAGACATATACACACACATAACTATGTGTTTACACACATAGGTGCATGTTCATGTTTGACTGAACTTCAATGTTTTCTGAGCATGTTTTTTCAGGCAAACCAAGCACTGCTTTAAGAAGTCTTCTCTTGGCCCCTTCCTACATATGCATACATAAACATGACCACAGTTTTTACCACGGTAATTCAGAATACTCAAAAAAGCAGAGATTTGCCTATTTATTAACCAGAATTGTGATTTCCTCATTAAAACAACAAACACTATTAAGTGTAAACTTAGTGACACTTACCTGAGTTAATGGTTCAACTGACCCGATGTAGGTATCTGGACGGAGGAGGATGTGCTCAAGCTGAGTCTTTTTCTGATAAACTCTCTCAACAGACATCTTCTTTGAAGTGTCATTTTTATTAATGCTTTCTGAGTCTTCCTTTTTTGAAGCATTGATCTGATTATCAAATAATGTCTAACAAAAAAAAGACAACAACAATCAACCCCATTCATTCAATCTGTCACTCTCAAGATATTAACAAGACCTGACAATTACAATCAAAACTTGTCATGTAACTTAACATTTAAGTTTTCAGGTGTATTAAGATCAAGCTATCCTCTCAACAGAAAAAATTCAACAGATTATGTGACAGTTTCTTAACAAACTGTCACATATTCAAACTTTAGTGATTTACTAAGCATGATAAACCAAAATAAGGAAATAACTGTGTATTACAAAAGACACCCACTTCCTCAGTGGTATTTATAGGTATTATAAATGTGTTATATTTTTATATATATTAAAAA